TCAATTATTTATAAATGCATGGTAATTTCAAATTCTGTGGTTATTGTGAATCCCAGTATGAATTCCTTTACTTTGTATGAGRATGAACATGGTGGAGCTTTTGTTCTCAAGAGTCACATCTGTCAGATATATGTGACCATGAATTTATCCAGACTCTCACGCTAAGCTAACAACCACTACAGCTCAGACTTCTCTTCAGCCTCTCCTTGGCAACCCAAAGCACTTCAAAGACAGAAAAGATGCATGGAATTGACACAGATCCTAAAAAACACTATTTGTATCAACTCAACAACCCTGAACACACAGACATTTTTACGTGGTTTTATAAAACTCAAAGACTAAATTAAAATTGCCTATTTGTAAGCTCTCAGCCTGTTCACAAAAYCTGTTTCACCAATTTCTTGAAGAGAGCTCCAAATGAGCACCCTTAYCGCTTTCAGGCTGCATTACCAAACCTAACTCAGGTCCTGGAGAACTGAAAACTCGTTGATAAATGTTAAACAAGACAATTGTGCTACAACCCAAGATGCTAAAAGAGACCTTTCCTGATTAGCATGCACAGAACGCATCCAAAGATAATTAATAATAATAGCTTTCTCAAGAGCAAGCTTCCTTTTTGACTGTCACTCTTTTTGGTAAAGTTTTCACAAGCCTAGAATATTGAAAAAGTTCCTTCACTCAGCTACAGAATGTAAAAGAAACAGAATGTAATCTTCCACAGCTTCCACTCTTTGAAGTATGTTGGAAAAGAAATAAAATAAGGAAACTAGTCAGAAGGAGGGGAAAAATTTTATAAGGACAGAAGAGCACCGGTCATCAATATTAGGTATCTACCATGCAAAATGTAACTGAAACACTCAATAATCTTTACTAAGTGAAATATTTTAAAACACTGAAAAAGACAGGGCCACTTCTAAATAAATTAAAGTGGAAAAAACCAAGCAGTTTAGAAATTAAGAATATACTTTTCATACTTCAAAGTCAAAGAGAATTGTCCAGCCTTTTCCTAAGGGGATCACRGTAGATCCGACAGATACATCTGTCCCAAAGAGAGACATAATAATGAAAAAAAAGAAAAGAGACAGAAGTCTCTTCTACTGTGTAGCTCAGACAGGATCTCTATGAAACCTACACTGATTCACACTTTCAGGTACAGAGCTAAATTAAAGGATAAGCAGGGATCAGTCGAGACAGAACTGTAGAAAGTTTAGAGCTAGGTACCTGAAGGTGGTTTTGAACACACAGCATACACCATAAATCTGTGAGAGTTATCTTTCTTTTAACTATAGGATTTTTCACACGATAAAGAGACAGCAGCCTAATGTTGCAAGTGGGAATGGATAACACCTTAGTCCCTTTGACTTAAATCATAAGAGAAGGCAACATTCTATGTCAGTGGAGCCACTCGCTGCCACAAATACCAAGAAATACACAACAAACATCACAGCAAAAGCCTATTTAATCAAATTTTTAACCTGGCTTTTTGCCTTTCAGGGTATGCAACCCTTGATGGAGGTATTACTCCTGTTGTACTGTAATGAAGCACTGAAACATCTGCTTCCCACATGATTAATTTAACAAATAAGTCAACACACAGTGAGACATACTCTGAAACAGGACACGGCGAAATGCAATAGCCAAAATCTTGATGCTCTCTGGTATATCAGGTTATTGTCKACAGACTTAAGAGGGGAATCAGAGCAACACAGCCACAGAAAGAAGACAGTACTCGTCAGTAACAGATTATTGACTAGTTATGCTCTATTATAAGCATATGACATACATCTTTCTTCAAGCTTATTTCATAAACTATTAGTTTCATTATAATACAAGACCATCTACCAACCAAATATACTCAAAAAAATACTGAATTTTCCCATCCAGCTGCATGGTTCTTTTTTTAATTCAACTGAACTATGAGCATATGTCTACTTGAAATGCTTTAGATCTGAAAATTTTGCCTTCTTCAGAACATTATTAATTACCCCTGAAGGRGCTGCTAAATTTCATTTGCAAATAGCTAGATACCATATGGAAGACAACTACAAATTATTTCCACCTCCTGATATATCAATGGATTTTCAAATCTATTCAACCTTGCCCCAGCTAGAATTTTTAATACTTTCACAAGAAGCTACATTTACAAACTTACATATTTTCTAAAGTCTGCATTATATTCCAGTTGATCAGACCAGCTGCAATTAACTTAAGCATCAGAAACACTGGAATCCGTATGGAAATCAAAAAGTTCAAAAATGTGACAATCTGATTTTTCTAAAACAGATGAGAATTACACAAGGCACTTAAAGTAAGTCAAGGTACCCAAGGCAAATCAACATCCATCTATTATGCTATATTCCAGCTTCTTTTTATAAAGGCACCAGAAATAAAAAACTAACACTGAGGTATCCCTATAAAGCAAATTATATATTTAATTAATACTACAAGATTAACATACCTATCCTCATACTCCAGAACAAACCCTCTTCAGATTTACATTAGCCATTCTAAAAGCAATGCAGAGATATTCCCGAGTCTAAACTGGAGAGATTTCTGTTATAGCAAATCAGTTACCTAAGACTTCAGGTAAAGTMTTTTTTGAGCTGCATCAAATAAATAAACTCTGAATACAGAGACCAGATAACACGAACAGAAAAAAGAATGTTACTATGACATTCGTACACATCATCTATACAACATTTTATCTAAGCAGACAGATGGCAGGTAAAGTTTGTAAGTAGGCTCCACATTTGATTCCCTTGCTATTAATAGAAACCTAGGCTGTCATGGCCAAGGTTATATTGGGCTAGACACACTCCAGTTTCCTAAGTCCACCATGAAGGCCTCCAAAATCGAACATGCAAAGCATTACCTTGGTAATTGTGCAATTGATTTGTAAATACAAAGCTAAAACACTATCTAAACATGCCACATTGAAGCAATTAAAGTCAATAGGCAAAACTCTGTGTTTGCACACATTAATGTTTTTACATTGGTTTAAACTTAATTTCCTTTGTCTTACACAGCAAACAAAGTTTCTAGTTCACTTAACTGCAATGGCCTAACATCAGTTCTTATCTCCATAAGCAGAAGTGACCTCATGTTAAATGCAGACACCCCATATGGTGTCATGTATTGTCCTCCTTACATGTGCAAGAGGACTGGAAAATCTACTGCTCAATGCAGAGTGCTGTTTCTGAACCAATATTAGGCAATTCTTTAGTGACCAAAACTCCTGGAGGGACCTATCTCACACACAAGACAATTTACTTTCAAATTCTACCATTAAAGGTACTAAGTAGGGTACACAGAAATGAGAAGATTCTTACTCCCTTGGGTTTTCCATCTGTTTACACTGAAAATTCGACAGCATTTTTTATTTCTTCTTTATTAAACAAGCTTTCTTCAAGATGACTGTTTAAAATAAGAAAACTAAGAAAGCTACACACTCTACGATGAGAGCAACATCACAAGTCATTTTAATATTCACCCCGAAGTAGTACAATTTGTGTGTGCTCTGTTAAAATCCTGCCACTAAGAGGAGCCCTAAGTCTATTCCACAATGAACAGTGGAAGAAGTAGTATAAATCTTTTTTCCTCCTTCTCAAGATCAAGGAAAACGCTTACTTCAAGTGAAGGTGAGGAAAACAGAATCACCATAAGTTGAAGAACCGATAAAGAATCACTTCTGCAGTGGCCACTTGAAACCACTGAAGATTACTGAAAACAAAAGGAGGACATAATTCTGCCATTGGAGGAAGTCTATCAATAAGAAAATATTCCACCAGAAAAGAATTAATAAATCATGAAGGTAGCTAGCAAGAGRAAAAAAAAGTGAGAAAAACATAAGAAACAAAGACTGAAGACACTTCAAGGCCTAGAGCAGGAGAATGGTGGTCAGATGCAAAGAATTGGAGTCAAGGCAACAACATTCAAGAAATTAATGAAAGAATAAATGAAATYTCGAAGTAGAAATGCAAAAAGAGAAGAAATCTTAAGATGCTGAATGAGTGATACAGAAACAAGAAAAGAACCAAGAAAAATGTTTTAAAATTTCYGTATGTTTCTAGAGTTTTCTGCTAGGCATGTAAGTATGCAACAACTTAGGATTCAACAACATACCACCTCATCCAGGCGAAGAGTCAAAGACAGACTATTCCAGAAARCTTGTCAGAAGAGAATCCTCATTCAAGCACTTCAAACTGTCATCTAGTGAAATCTTGCGCTCACTAGTGAATGAACAGGAACACAAAAAGCTCCAAAAGACTCTCAGTTGTGAAATTTCAAGTTTACTGGCTAGGTATCACCTTCATCCAGCAATTGGCTGACTGATTCTTCTGTCCACCATTGAGCACAAATGGGAACAAAAGRGGATTTAATGAAGTACCCAATTCCTCTTCTTCCGACCAGGCACTTCAGTCTTGCCTCCAGAAGAACACAAAAGACCTTTGACTTCCCCAAAACCCTACCCTGCTGCASTCATCCAAGCACTACCACACTCCTTGATTTAAAGCTAAGGTRGGAAAATGAACTGCAGACTGGGAAATCGCACAAAAATGGCTCCCTCTTACTCAATCTGTTCACTTTAGCTTATCTGCTCACATGCTGTCCCAAAGTATTTTGACTTCACGGCTAGTTGCGCTAGGCCAAGACTGCTAACTGGAAGCTGACAGGTACTGCCTCCCAAGCAGTCTGCCTTATCAACTTCCCTGGAGGCCGGCACTCGGTGCAAGGACAACAAGATTTGAATTAGCGTCCTGAAAAAAAGGTACACACATCTACCAAGCCACCTCGCCGAACGGCGGCGGACTCCTCGCTCGGGCCGTGGTCCGAACCTCAGCCAGGGATGGAGGGAGGCGGCCCAGGAGGCGGCAGGAGCCCCACTTGCTGCCCTCCGTCAGGGCGGCTCCGGGCCGCGGAGTCCGGGCACAGCTCCGGCCCGTGGGGCCGCCCCCGCCGGCAGGTGCCCGCCCGCCCCGCCGCGGCCGCCCCGCGCTCACCCGGCCTCCCGCATGACGTTGCTGTCGCCGCAGTCGCAAGCGCCCCCCGCCTGGCTCCGGAACATGTTGTAGTCGTGCCCGGCGTGCTCGCCTTGGTGGAAGCACTCGGCGCACAGGCTCATGCAGGGCGAGATCCCGCACGTCCGGCACCGGTAGGCCACRAAGTTGGCGGTCCATACCAGGCCGCACAGCGTGGCCGGGTCGTAGGCCCGCACGGCTTGCACGAAGCTGTCCCAGGGCTCCCCGCCCGACAGCAGGCAGCGGCACCACTCCAACGCCTCGCCCGCCGCCTCGCCGCCGCCCGGGCCCGCCGCCGGGGCCAGCACCCGCTCCAGCAGCGCCCGCAGTTCCGCCGCCGCCGCCGCGCCGGTCTCGCCGCCCAGCGCCGCCTTCAGCCGCGCCGCCGTGGCCCGCTTGTCCCTGCTGCCGGCGCCGGCCCCCGCCATGACGGGACACCGAGGGGCCGTTACGGCCGCGCCGGGCGCCGGATCCGCGATCCCTCCGCCGGCCTCGCTCCCCGCCCCGCGGCGCCGCCCTCTCGCGATAGCCGCGGCACCGGCGCCCTGCCCGCCGCCCGCGCCCCCCTCCCGACACCGCCTCTCCCCTCCCCTGACACCACCCTCCTCTTCCTCCGCCTCTGCCCTCCCGCCACCCTCCCAGCGCGCAGGTGCGCGCCCCGCGCCGCCAACGCAGAGGTGTCGCCGCCCGTTGGCCCGAAACTTCGCGTTCGTCCGGAGGTCCCGGCACCCGCCCGGGAGCGTGGAGGGCGCACCTGGGCCGGCCGGTGGCCCCGACGGCAGCGGAGCCCGTTCGTTACCGAGCCGTGCCCGCAGCGAAACGGCTGCCATGAGACGCCGCGCTGCCGCTGGTGTGTCCCGGCCACAAGGGTCCCGTCGGCTCAGGCGGTGACGGCTTTGAGAGCAGGAGCAACTGCGGGGGATGCGGGAGATAGCTCTGAGGCTTCGGGCGGGCGGTTCTGCTCTCGCTGCCATCAAGCAGCCCCGTTGGGGGTCCAGAACAGCGCCGGCTCCGGCAGCAGCACCGCACCCCGACGTGTCCGCAGAGCCGCGCCCCGGGTACCAGCGTGCGGCTGCCTGCGCGCTCCCAGCAGGAGAGAAGGCATTTGAGATGCAAGTTACCGTGTTTTACACACCCGGCGGCGGCTTTAAACCTCGATAAAGACATTTTAAGCTGTGCAGTGGAGAACCTTGTACCAAAAAAATCTATTTGTTAGACAATAGGACCCTTCTGCCCGTCAGCTTCGGGCCCCAAGGCAGCTGCCTCTCTTCTGGCTTTGCCTGTGTTTCCTATGGCTGCCCGTCTGCTGGTGGCTTGTGTCGTGTTGTGCGTCCAGGTGAATATTACTCTTCTGTCAACGACCGCTCTTCCCACCGCACCAGCAGAAATCCAGTTCCTTGCTCTGTCCCTAAGGGCATTCAGGAGCGGGACCACCGAGAAAGCCCGGTCTGCCGGGTGTGTCCTCCGGCTTTCTCAGGCACCGAGCAGCAGTGACGCGTTAGACTGAAATAAAATGTCTCGTGTTTATAATACAGGACACCAAAGGCCACACTTGTTAACGAAACACGCACAAATCCCCTGGCGTTTCATTCCCGCAGGTGCCCGTCATCCCGGGCAGGGGCGGGCAGGGGGCGGTGCGCGCAGGGGGCGGGCGGTGCGTCGGAAGTGCGCGGCCGCGCTCGGTGCGGCCCTGCCCGGCCCGGCCCGGCCCGGCGGAGCTGCGGTGAGTATCGAGCGGGGACAGGCGGAGCAGGGACGGCACTGAGGGGCGAGCGCACGGTGTGGGTGGTGGCGGTCGCTGGGGCTCGGTTCGTGCCCCGCYTAGAACTGGGCGACAGAAGCGGAGCCCCGGGCCCAGGGCCTGAACTCCGGGAGCAGTGAGGAGAGCGGCTGCTGCCCTGGTCGGTGCTCGTTCCCCGGCATCGGTGCGCCGCCAGCTGCGTCCCGGGAGACGGCACGCTGAAAACACCCCGCAGGTGCTGAAGATTACCTGGGGATTTTAAGTATAAAATAATAGGTAGTTTACTTATATTGTTGTAACTGATCRCACGTTATTTTCTTTAGTCGAACGATAAACATGAAGAAATTAAAGCTTAAAGAACTGGAAAGCTGTCTTCAACAAGTTGATACTTTTGAAAGTCCAAAACTACTCCTTGAACAGTATCCAACAAGACCTCATATTGCAGGTAGAGGTGACCCACAGCACTGTTATTTCTTTGGCAGTTTTTCAGCAACACTTTTAATTCAAAAAGTTTTTTCTGCTGCCTTATTTCCTTTGAAGGCTTTGCACTAAAAGAGTTAAGAAAGTGTATCCAACAGGAATGTATTTAGAAATATACTGATAATGTACAATCCAAAAATCAAATAAATGTATTTCAAAGATAATGTTGTCATAGAAACATCTTAATCTGTAAAAGTATAAGCTGAAATGGAGTTGTCATGACATGCAAAACGAGTAAAGTGTATATGCAGACACTCATACCTTAATTATGATCTTTCCCATACTTTATATTGTATTGTTTTTCCCCAAAAAAATTTAAAGGCTTACTTTTTCCACAAGCAATGCTCGGAGCTCTTTGTGTAATCTCTCCACCAAAGATCCACATTTTGTAATTTGTAAAAATGCTTTTGACTCTTCACACATAAATGAAAATCAATTACAAGCAGTGAGAACATCAGTTTAACTAAAGGGTTTTTGTAGTGTGAACTTAAGAGTTTTCTGAAGGCACAAACAGCTTTTCAGGATTTATTAGGTTCATATTGATATTATTGACCTGTTTTGGTTGTTTGTTTTTTTTTTCCCCCAGCATGTATGCTTTATACAATTCACAGTACTTTTGATGATATTGAAAACAAAACAATTGCAGACTTAGGATGTGGTTGTGGTATGCTCAGCATTGGAAGTGCAATGTTAGGAGCAGGGTAAGTATTTAATATTAAATTCTGGCATTTTTTTTCTAGCATAAAATAATAGAAAGTAAGATTAAAACATAGCAATGCTGAACTAAACCATTTTAGGTATATAATCTGGTGCACAGTCAGGCTATTTACCAAGTTTTGACCATGAATAATCATTCATACTGTGAAAGTGATGGAAGTTGTCACAAATTTGGAAGTCATTTGCTTTCCCCTGAACCATTAAATGAACACAMGAATCTTAGCTAACAAAATTTTGATTTATACTTGAGAAAGGGCAACCGAACTACTAGCATTTTTATCAGCATGGAATCTATAATGTATGCTTGTTGCATTTCCTAGATAAAACAAACTGTGTACCCAGATCCCTTACTGTAGAATTTAAACACCATTTTCGTTTGTAGGAGACTAATATGTGACACTTTCCTTCCTTYAATAGATTCTGTGTCGGGCTTGACATAGATGCAGATGCACTGGRAATATTTAATAGCAATATTGAAGACTTTGAGCTCATAAATGTCGACATGGTTCAGTGTGATATCTGTTCTTTATCTGACAGCATGTCAGATACTTTTGATACAGTGATTATGAACCCTCCGTTTGGTACCAAGCATAATAAAGGTTGGTAATTATGAAACTCAGAAATTATTACAAACAAAACAGCAAGGGAAATGCTTTTAATGAAAGAACATCTACCTTCTTCATTAATTACGTACTCTAATTACTTAGTATTTTGTTGATGTGGAATCAGCTTCCTAAGTACAGATTAACAACTCCAACGTTGTAACTAACAATCACTGGGGCTTGAAATAASCAATACTAGCTATTTCATATCCCTATCATCTTTCTTTTATTAAAAACAATTRAGTGTGTTTTAGAAATACTTTCTGTACCTTAATGAATTCAATGCAAATAGCTATTCTTCCAGAAAAAAAAATAAACAGATCTTTGAGCTTCCATTTAATAATTCGAATAATATCATCATGCTTTTAGGAATTGATATGATTTTTCTGAAAACGGCTCTACAAATGGCAAAAACAGCTGTATATTCCCTTCATAAAACTTCAACACGAAAGGTAAGTGCTTCATTTAAGTAGGGTAAGCAATTAACCAGATAACACAACTGGCTATATAGATTTCTGTAGCTTCACCAATTTGTTAAATACTTTGTGGGGTATGTTTGGGGTAAATACTAATTATGTCAAATAACCACCATCTCACATCAAGATAACTATGTGATCTGGTGCTTCAGCTTGAAAATCAAAAGCATAGAGGCTTCTTAAGTACAAGGATATAGAAGTTTGTAAAACATCACTTTAAAAGCTCATTTCTACACTATCTAATATTGTAGCACATTCAGAAGAAAGCAGATGAATGGGAAGTGAAGATGGAAGTCTTAGCAGGTAATATTTATTTCTTGATAACAGAAAAAAAMCGGAAAAAAAGGTTTTGGTTTGGGGTATCATCTATACCACTACTAGCCAGTCACAAGAGCCYGAGGTAAATCACACTAAAATTTAACATGGAAATTACCCAGACCTGTTTTTTTTTGCAGTCCTTTTGTTTTAAGTTTTTTAAATTTTGCTACCTYGCAAGAATACAAGCAGGCACTTAATAAAGCTGCAAGGAATACATACTCTGTGCAGTATTAAGTTTTTGTCTTCGAGCAGAAGTTACCTCCCTTCCTGCTTCAAAGGGAGTGCTGCTGGAAAAGGAAAGTGAAGCACAGGTCAGTTTTCACACACAAAAAAGCACCCTGTGCTTAGACACCCAGATTTTTTGACAGTTAAATATCTTCCCAGGTTTTCAATGCCACTAGCCAGATGCTTTTTACAGTCATTGAACTAGAGATAGGAAATTGCACAAGTGCTTGAAAACAGGACTGCATTTCAGCCACCCACTTAACTGTCTGTGGACAGCTTCAGTGTTTAATCATCATCTAGTGCAGAGATAAAACAGGTATCATGACAGGCCACAACAGATGCAGACATTAGAAACAGAAGTGCAAGGCTGTATGGCTTAAGTGATTGATAATCATCCTGGTCTAAAACGCATTCTTTCTACTGTCCACAGAACTTAGATTTGATTTACCAGCATCATAYAAGTTCCATAAGAAGAAATCAGTAAGTATAAAACCTAACGGAGAAMATATTGAGGTAAACAAATTCTACTTAATGAAAGTTTTAGGGCCATATATACTGAAGAATGCTCACATCCCTGAGAGCATTCACTCACATCACTGCTGTTACTACATTTTGTAGCTAAAGAAACTAATCATAATGCAAGTCAAAGCTATACACAAAGATTGAAGCCAGCACTCCAATTAGACGTGATAAAGCTARGGGTAGCCTCATTGACTCAATTCCTAAAAGCTATTTATTCAGTCCTGTCTGCAGCTGGGATTTTGACTGAAGTGCTGAAGGCTACAGTAACAAGGGTATTACAGCAGTAGCATTATTTCATTAATCTGTGCTCTACTGCAAAGAGCTACAGCCAGCTGCAGAGTCATCCTGGGGGCAGCAAGTGGAGCTTGTGCTCCTCTGTTAAAACAGTCAGGACACTTAAGTATGGCAGCCTAAGCCTAGAGCAAGTTCCTGGGTACTGAATGCTGGAAGCCATGTATTCCCATCCCGTGCCATAACAGAAGGAGACTGGACAAGGGTTGAAGACTGGTAGGTATGTTCAGCAGTAAAGAACAGAGGCTTTAATCAGCTATATCTATGCTCTTGGTGATTTGAACTTAATATAGGTCTGTCCTTGGCTACTTTACAGTTGCAACATTATACTACATTAACCAGGCTTCAGTAGAAAGCAGTTTAAGTTCTGAATTTATTGCCAGCTGCTATTAAACATAACCRTAAGATTACAAAGTCCAAAACCTTTTACATTGGAATGAGATGCCAGAAAAATTGACAAGATCTGACAGTATAAACAAAACTATAAATAGAAAAGTTTTCCAGGGTTTTATGTTAGGAGTAAGCATGCTTCTTTAACAAAAAACAAAGCTGTAACCCAATAAAATGAATCTTTTCTCTAATTGTAGGTTGACATTGAAGTGGATTTCATTAGATTTTCTGCCAAGAAAGTCCTGAASTGAGGCATGTCTTTCAATAGGTTTTAAAATGGAACAATAAAGCCACTATTTTTTTAAATTGTTTTATTTATTTTAGTAYTACTGATTGCCATCTCCATTTTCTGTTTTGAGTTGTTTTGGTGCAGGTTCTTCCTTTTCCATTTCCTCTAGTGGTCTCTTCTTGGGACTTGCTGGTTCTGCAAGATTGAATATATAGTCATTTAGGGTAAAGGAAAGCATTACCTGAAATCTTGTGAAAAAAAMCACTCCTCCCATCATTTGAGTCCTAGTTATCTACAGCCACAGGTACAGTAGAGAGATTGCTTATTATGGTGACTAAAGCTTTTAGATTTTCTGAAATATCACGTGTGAAGAGCTTAACTCTACAGCAGGAGGGCAGGTAAGAAAATGGAAGGAATGCAGTCTACCCAGGAGTAGGTTTTACTGGGTTTTAGTAAAGCAGGAGCTGTATCTAATGAACAGAAACTTAGCTCTTCCTCTTTTCCAAACTAAGTAGTGACAGGCAGAACTATTAAGTCTTCTTATATCCTTAAGGTGAAAAAAAAAGCACCACTGAAGAGACTGGGTCTATATAGTTGTGTAATGCTGCTGACAACCACCATCTTTCAATGCATAATGCTTTAAACAGCCCTGCAGTATAGCTTTACCCATCAAGTAATTGTCTTAATATGCTTGTTGGACAATTGCAGAAGGAATCGAGCACAAGACTCTTCAGATTACTTTACTGATACTGACAGGAGGGCAGAAATACTACAATGCARAGCCAAATCCAAAACACTTGTGAGAAACATGAGTACCTGGARCTACTTTCTATAAAAGTACTGAATAAGCTGCATCAAGTGCACAGAATGACRTACCTGTTTTAGCATCATTTTCACCATCTTCTTCGTCATTTTCAAACTTTATTTTCTTGCCCTGAAACTGTATTTTTCCTTTTTGTGCACCCTGAGGTATCTTTCCCCCTCTTCCTTTGCCTTTAATTTTGCGCCCTGCAGAGATACAAGATCAGAAACTTTGTATCATTTAACTGGCAAACTCCAAGGATTGCTTTAAAGTTAACACATCATTACCTAACATGTATTCCCTACTGAAGGGTGAATTACGCACCCCAGCTCTAGGACACTATAAAGACTTTAATTAAAAAAACGAGGGAGAACCTTTTGATTTCTGTTTCAGCAATTCCTGCTGATCTTCCAGTATTTTTTTCAGAGCTTCTTTCTCTGCATCTCCTTCTAGCACTTCCCATGAAACATCCTTGTTCCGGAGCTGCAAATTTCCGTTATGTGCTGCTTTGGCTTTTTCCAGAGCATCTTTGGCAATATCCTTAAACAGGATAATTCCCTTAAAAAGAAGAGTGGTAGATACCTTTTAATCTTACTGCAAAAACATTCAGCTGGAATGGTAATAAACATATGCTGTTGAGTCCCTTCAGCAAATTCAACATTCTCAGTTTTGACCTTATCAACAAGGCTGGAACCTTTATTTGTTCTTTTGAAAGAAGTTAATGGAATAAAGTAATTCTCTAAATATTGTGCAATTTCACAATAATTTACTTGATAACATAAGAGAACAAACATTTAATCATTTATTTTCAAACTTCAATACATAGATTTTAAGTCCTTGTCTAAGATTACTGACCTCCTTCGCACCTCTGACAAAATGTATCCACTTGATTTCTCCGTGACCAGAAAACACATCATGGAGATCTTCTCTGCACGTTTGGTCATCTAGATCACCAGAAAACTTCAAAAGACATCCTGTCTTTTCTTCCAGAGACTTCTAAATTAAATTAAAAACAGCCACATTTTCATTGAAGAGTCAAGCTTGAATATTCATATTCCCCCCAGTCCTATCAAACATGATAGTGATAAGCAATTGAAGTTACAGTAATATAATAATTTTTCCTACATAATCTAGTTCTGCTGATGTCCAAGTCTTGTACAGTGTCCCCCCTCCTTTCTGAAGTTTTGTTTGCTTACTATGATACACTTACGTGGAACTTAGGACTCCTTTCCCATAGGAGTTACACCCTTTAAATTCTACAAAACAGTTTTGTGAAGGCTGACACCTCAGGTTGAAAATTTACCTAATACTGATTTAATSCTTAAGGGATCCTTTGAATACCACAGAGAAACAATCATCTCAATGATGCATTCAAGATCACTTYTGAACAGGCAAACATGCCTAATGTAAATTCAGGACATAAGCCTTTAAACAAAATTAGTCTATTAAAGATAAGATCCATGACAGAATAGTCTTACTATAAGTTAGCTGGAAAAGCTGAAGTGACTTGCTAGAAAATGCTCTATATTACAGCATTTCAAACAGAATAKTCCATGTTGGCTTTACAAAATGTAGGTGGATTTAAGAAACCCATACCATTTCAGCATCTGCTGCTTGTTTCTGCTTTTCTTCTTTTTCCCTGTAGAAAAGTTAAATTAGTTGTGAGTCAGTTCAAGCATGATCAGGCAAGCAAAACACACACTTTGACAATGACTTACTGTTTAGCTCKTGCTTTTGCTTCTACTTTGTTTTGTTTCCTTTCTTCATTCTTTTTTGTACAGTACTCCTCCCTTCAACAGAATATTAGCTAAATTAATATAATTTAAAATATTGTTAAAATTACTTTGTAAGACAGCAGTAGACATGAAACAGTTGAAATTATTTGTCCAAGTTGAGATGCTAACTCTCCAAAAGGTAGCCTGTACAATGCCTGTACAACAGCATAAGAACTCACACTTCTCAGGTCAAGCCAGGCTCTTGTGTAAATCCRCCCCTGACCACTGTTCATACATCAATTAAAAGAACTTACTTGAAAAGTACTATCAGCTCTGTGTCTTTGTACTTTTGATTTGGTATCTCTGTGAACTTCTTAGCAGATTCAACACTATCAAAAACTGCAAATATTGAGCCCTGTTAAATGGTAAAATACATTGTTAGAATAACTGAAAGAATGTTGTCCAGGGAGAATCCCTGCATCAGGTCTACATGTTCATCATTACCTTAAATGTTCTCTGCAATGTTCTCCTCATTTGGATATTTTCGACTGGACCTTTATCCTCAAGCCATTCTTTAATATCATCAAGTGTGGCATCTAGTGGAAAGCCTTTCTGCAAGACAGCAATGAGCTTCAATTGTATGCCACAAACTGACTCTGAAAAATTACAGTCTTTATAGTATTAATTCAAGCTTTACTAAGATGGTTATCAATCAAAGTCATGCAGAACACCACAAAATAAAGGAAGAAATTTACTTACAACATACACAGATCTGTTTTTAATTGCAGCTTTATACTGGTCATTTAATTCAGGAAGGGGTTTATTTGGAGATCTTCTAATTTTAGTTTTGTCTTCATTTATTTCCATTAAACCTGTCTTGGATTTTCTTAGTGCTTCTACAATAACACCAAAATCTTTTGAAAGGCGACTTAACCTATTGRGTAAGCAGACACAAGCTATTACAAACACACAGGCAAAGTGGAAGCCAGATATTAAAACAGCAATTGGAATTGGACATGCACACCAGGAACACTTGGCCCCAAACAGAATAGGTAGCTGAAAGTTACTCTTTTATCCACATTACTTGTACGTTGTTTTACCTGTTGAATTTGATCATTACTTCTAAAGGTACCCAGCCATCATCTAGTTTAATCTGTTCCTTTAGAAACTTGTCTCTTGGTAGATTGTGATTGCCAAAATAATACTGCAAAAAAAGAAGAGGGTGGTGGGGGARAGGAAAGAGAGATGTATCTTTAAATTTTCAGTCTTAAAACCTCTTTTTCTTTTAACAGTTTACTGCAGTAGATTGAGACATACCAAAATTAATTAATCTGGAATTCTGAAATTATTACTTCCTGCTTTAATGTGATACTTTGCCAAAAGTTAACTGCARTGTGTAAGGTGTAAAAACAAACAAAATCACCAGAAACAAACCCTAAAAAAACACAAACAAACAAACCTCACATCAAAACAATTAATAAGGCAAAGATAGATTGCAGTTTTGTTTAGGAAAGGAGTGAAGCTTATTCTGTTAACATGATAAGCATTCATAAACTTTATCAAGCTCTACAGAGTCAAAAGTCAAATTTGTCACCAACACATCCAGCTGGTAGACCTTATTTAAGGAATATGTATGCAAGAATATTGTATTTGCAAACTGAGAAATCATACACATAGACCAGAATTTCTAGGTCTCAYTCAAGAAAACGCCATAAGATAAAATAACTATTTATATTTATTTTTAATTTTATTTAATTATCATGTTCTTATTTCCATCTGTCCAGYATGGGAAGTCAATTCAGTTCGAGACAGACAAGTCAATCAGATTCTTTCCCTGACTAACAGTCATCTAATGAAGGTCAAATACTTGAAATCATAGGAGAAGTTGGAGTATCTTCACCAATATTGTGGTGCTTTAAAAAGTCACTGCTAAGTTTTACAACACTACCTCTTTCTCTAGTACATCYCAAACTCATATTACCAAAAGTCTAGTTTTGTCAACTATTTTTCCTCAATCCCTATGTTTTGTTTGTTWTATATAAATAATGGCTTTGTATGGTAATGGGCATTCACGTGGAGCTACATTTTTGTCCTTCAGGAAAACAGTTATTCTACGGAAAGTAATGCCTTCGGGGTTTTTTGTTGTAGAGTAACCCTCCAAGCCTCCAGAGAGACAGTTAATCCAAAGYAGGCATATAAATTTAGTTGTAATTTGTAGCAATAAATTACAARGCAGTAAATCATAGTAGCAAGATATTCGATGTGCTGTGCAAGTATTTTGACCAGCAGATTCCTGAGTAGGAGGGTTTTTTCCCAGCTAAAAAGAAGGCACACAGAACTAAAATGCACTCTCCTCCTATTTGCACAGGTAGAATAACCCCAGCAAGCATGGTAGTAAATAGTTTAATGATAGATTCACTTGCTATAGCACCTAAAATGCTAGCAAATTAAACCTTCCCTGTGTTTAAATGGTGGTCTTACAAGCAGCTCTAAACAAGTGTAATGGCCAACTTAAA